AACTCACCTAAAACCTTCCTGATTTAATACAGGCTCCTCCTCCCGTAGCAAACGCATGAGACGCAGAAACTCCTGGAGAGTTTTCCAGGACTGATGCTATCAGCAACATGGAAAAAGCTTCGTCCAAAAATTGTCCCGATTTAGTATTCTTTGTTTAGCTGCTGTATTTGTCGGTAATTTTAGATTCTATATGATTCTATATGTAACATTTTCAAACATACCGAAAATGGTATCACCTTGTGGGGGATCCTGAGCAAAACCTGGATACTGCCAAATACTACTTTGATTTAAGGTGTCGAAAATAAATGATGTTTCTCATTTTGAGACTACTGCAAAAAGCAAAAGGTTTACCCTATTTAATACATTCAAACGTTATTTTGATTACTGACATGTTTTTCCAATTGGGCACGATTTTTTTGTTTATCTGTTCAAAGCCTTCAATTTACAGGTGGACCCACTTCGTGTTGAAAATGATTCTGGGTTTGAAACCGAAGCAAATTCCACCCAAAGGCTAGTTTTGCACATGTTCACAAAAAGTTGCTGCTCTTATATGTGTTTAGTATTGTTTAATATTCAAATTATGTACAGTATTGTACAGTAAGTTCAAAGAATCTTGCAAACAGTTGAGAAAGACCAGGTTGGCGTTTCTTTTGTTTCAGAGACTTGCGGCGGGGCCTACACCTGCGTCCGCTCAAAGCGCACAGGCTCAGCGGCTCTGTTGATTCGGGTTGTTCCTTTGATACCAGGAATGCAGCAGCCTTGTCTTGGATTCAAACAAATTTGAAATGGTTTTTGAGGCTGAAACAATAAGCATCAAGAAACTGAGGTGCTGTTCAGCCGAAATCAACTGCTGTACACTATATTACGTGGTGGGAACGGACAGGGTTTTCTTGCTTCAAAATACCCCTTCGTGCCGTTCTTCACAACACCACACCAAGACTCGAGAGGGTACTCTCGATCGAAACCTTGAAACACCTTAAAACATTTCGCGATAGGCCAACATCAATTTGAAGACTTGGCGAAGAAACATCATCTCATTACAAACAATTGGATAAGATTGAACTATTTCCAAAACGTGAATTCATTCTGCATCATGGTTCCTGATCCCTGCATCCATTCAAATCTGCTTCAATTTGAATCATGACTTCGCTGAACTCGAGCGGTCTCAGCTTCGCTGATCCGAAATCTTCGTCATTGGTTGGTGCCCAACGGCCTTTGAAAAAAATGAGTCGATTGGGGATCGTCAGCTTAGGCAGGGTTCAATATTATATATACACATATATATATATATATTTGTATGTCTATATAAAATAAAATCATATATATATATTATATGTGTATTGATAGGTATATATAGATACAGTCATACAGTATATAGTACTGCAAAAATAATTATATAACGCATATAGTATCTACTATATGTCATATATGTATCTACTGTAAAATAATGCATCTCATATTGTATGTATACATTGAGTAGATGTTCTTGAAAACACCCAGCATATCCCCCATGTATAGCCCGCTAGATGCTTTGCGGCCGACTTTATAGAGAATAGCCTGGTATAAACTGGAATGGCCACATGTCTGGAGTCTATAAAGTGGAAAGCCAACATGTTTTGTCTATAAAGTCAAAATCCAACGTTTGTATAAAGTCGCCTGGCCGCGTAAAAACATAAAACTCGATGCAGGTTTTTGAGGGTACTTGTGAACATGTCCCATGACTATAAAGTGAGATGCCGAACATCCAGATAGTAATACTTGTGCAGAACAGTGGCACTATAATGTGGATTTCCGGCTAAACAACGATCGTTGTAGTAGCGATGATTTTCTTAATCGCGACGATGGCAGCATCGACATGATTGTCTATAAAGTTGAGGGGCCACGTTCAAACCTTGGGGGAATATCATCGATCTCATCGATGGGGAACCCAAAAGACTTCGAATGACTTCGAAACCGAACGAAACCGACAGCCAGACAAATATCTATATCGAAGTCGTTAACAGAATCTATGGTAAAACAAAATCTATGTTGGACTGGCCACTTTATACCACTTTATACCCCCTCCCCCAACAGAGAATGCCTCTAACACACTTTCCTTTGAAAGGGGTCCTTGGGGTGAAAGGGGTCCTGGTCGCGCCGCGCGCGCGCGCGAAAATGGCTCCAATTTCGACACCTTTTTGGCGCGCGCGCGCGCGGCGCTCAGGACCCCATTCACCTTGAGGAATTTTTCAAGGGAAATCTTCTTCTCTATAAAGTGGCCAGTCCAGGTAAAACCCCTGAAAAAACAGAATCTATGTTGGACTGGACACTTTATACCACCTCCCCCAACAGAGAATGCCTCTATAAAGTGGCCAGTCCAAGTAAAACCCCTGAAAAAACAGATTTTTACCTGGAATGGCCACTTTATACCCCCGCCCCCAACAGAGAATGCCTCTATAAAGTGGCCAGTCCAGGTAAAACCCCTGAAAAAACACATTTTTACCTGGAATGGCCACTTTATACCTCCTCCCCCAACAGAGAATGCCTCTATAAAGTGGCCAGTCCAGGTAAAACCCCTGAAAAAACACATTTTTACCTGGAATGGCCACTTTATACCCCCTCCCCCAACAGAGAATGCCTCTATAAAGTGGCCAGTCCAAGTAAAACCCCTGAAAAAACACATTTTTACCTGGAATGGCCACTTTATACCCCAGCCAGTGGGCTCCAGGACTTTGACCCGGAAACGGAAGGACTGACAACAAGGTAAAGGGGGAAAACTACAACGGAGAGGTACAACGGGAAGGCTACCACAAGAAAATGAGACATGTCACGTTTATATACGTTTATTGTTTTCAATGTGTCATATAGATTGGCGATGATTGGTATATGGAATATGTTGTAGATGTATTTTGGAACATATGTATACCTATGATTCACACATCAATATAAATATATATAAATCATAAACACATGCCAAACCAAAAACTTTTAGCTGAGTATTGTATTCCCAATCTGTTGGCAAATGTCCAGCCGATTCACCATGCGTGACCCAACAAGATTCAAACTATGGATTGTTTACTTTCGAAAATATTTTTTTACTGGTTCTTGCAAACAATTTTATAGAGGATGGGCATGGACCGGCCAGTTTATACAGAGGGTGGGGCTGCCAGAAATGACGTGATCAAGCCACTTTATAGAGCTGAACTTTCTTGCAGACCATTTTATAGAGGATGGGCATGTGGCCGTGGTTTTGGTCCATAGATGTCCATAGATTTTTAGGATGATTTTGGGAGATTGTCGTCATAGATATACGTAGATTCACCCAGTACTTTTTTTCAAAAGTAAACAACCCATAGTTTGAATCTTGTTGGGTCACGCATGGTGAATCGGCTGGACATTTGCCAACAGATTGGGAATACAATACTCAGCTAAAAGTTTTTGGTTTGGCATGTGTTTATGATTTATATATATATATATATTGATATTGATGTGTGAATCATAGGTATACATATGTTCCAAAGTACATCTACAACATATTCAATATACCAATCATCGCCAATCTATATGACACATTGAAAACAATAAACGTATATAAACGTGACATGTCTCATTTTCTTGTGGTAGCCTTCCCGTTGTACCTCTCCGTTGTAGTTTTCCCCTTTTACCTTGTTGTCAGCCCTTCCGTTTCCGGGTCAAAGTCCTGGAGCCCACTGGCTGGGGTATAAAGTGGCCATTCCAGGTAAAAATGTGTTTTTTCAGGGGTTTTACCTGGACTGGCCACTTTATAGAGGCATTCTCTGTTGGGGGAGGGGGTATAAAGTGGCCAGTCCAACATAGATTCTGTTTTTTCAGGGTTTTTACCTGGACTGGCCACTTTATAGAGGCATTCTCTGTTGGGGGAGGGGGTATAAAACATAGATTCTGTTTTTTCAGGGGTTTTACCTGGACTGGCCACTTTATAGAGGCATTCTCTGTTGGGGGAGGGGGCATAAAGTGGCCAGTCCAACATAGATTCTGTTTTTTCAGGGGTTTTACCTGGACTGGCCACTTTATAGAGGCATTCTCTGTTGGGGGAGGGGGTATAAAGTGGCCAGTCCAACATAGATTCTGTTTTTTCAGGGGTTTTACCTGGACTGGCCACTTTATAGAGAAGAAGATTTCCCTTGAAAGGGGGCCTCAGGGTGAATGGGGTCCTGGGCAGCTCTATAAAGTGATTTGGGTGATGTATCTCATGACTCTATAAAATGCTCTGCCGCAATTTTCTTTCTATAAAGTGCCCTGGATGCAGCACACATTTTTCTTCTTTAAAGGGCAAGTTTCACTCAAAAAAGTATAAAGTGCTTTGCCATGTATACAGCCCCAACAGAAAGATATTGGCCCGAAATCATTGGGGAGACATGTTTCTATAAAGTGGATGGTGTGACATATTATGGCCATTCTTTGAAGGGAACCAACGGTCTATAAAATGCATTGCCGCATATATTGAGTCGTTTCCTTGTGGGGAACCAGCCGGGTATAAACTGGAAAGCCAACGTTGCTATAAAGTCATCTTCCAGGTCCAAGGGCATGTTTCTCGCGCAAAACACGGCTTTATCCCCCATTGTCGGTATATAAAGTGGCGACCGGAAACCCACTTTATAAGCGCAAAGGATGTCCACTTTATAGTGAGCTATACATGGGGGATATATATATATATGCCTTGGTTATAGACTCATTGCTATGGATTTCCTCTCAAGATGGGCGATTCAAAAAGGGGTCTGGGGGATGGTACCCCATGAATTGGTTGGAGATAGTTGGATATACCATCTGGTTATGACATTCACAGTTTGCCATGGAAAGATCCACCATGCTACTTTTAAGAACGGTGTGTACCATCTATTTCGATTAGGGCCATCGCAAAACCATGGCAAACTGTTAGTCATAACCAGGTTGGGTATCTACCATAGACATCCAACATATTCCAACATCCAGGAAATCGACAAGTCTCGCAGGCCCCTGGGCAGCCCGGAAGCCCCGGGCCCGCCTCACCAGCTCTTTTTCCTCTTCCGAACGCCGCCCAAAGGATGAAATGGAGAGGACGTGGTTGATGACGACGTCAACGTCGCCCAGCTGCTGCCTTGAAAAGTCAGTTGCTGGGAGGTCTTCCGAATGGAAAGGTTTTGGTTTCAATACCTGAGAAAAGGAATCGGATGTTGGTCGATACACTAATAGATAATGGAGTTCACCCCAAACATGGTGTATTTGACCAACAGAAATCGGGCTTTCATCAGGGTTTTTCCGGAAATGACCAAACACAGCTGGAAAAAACAAAAATGTTTCAAAGAAACAAAATGGATTCTATTCAATGGGAATTTCAGGACCGATGGCCTTACATAGGCCTTATATATGGTAGGTACCTCCAATCAATCGGATCCTGAAATGGCCATTGATCTATTTATAAGATCAATTGCCAGGTTGGCTTACGAACGAGTGTCGTGATCAATTGCCACTTGGACCGTTTTTTTCCAGCGTGAAAGTAAGATCGTCCACAGAGTGGGGCCCGCCAACAATTTGTTGCTTTGTAATACCCAGTGACTGTGGATATATCATGATATATCATGATATATGTCTACCATAAACATCCATAAACCGAGTTATTCGAGTGGTAAGATGTTTTAAGCTAACTTACGCCCTCCATCATGTCCTTCAAATTTGGGGCCTCTGGACTACCTGGTCTACCCAAGCTAGCCTCTGGGGAGCCCGAGAGGTAACGCGTACACCGGACAAAATCTGCTAGCCGGTGTTATCTTTTATGCCCTCTGAAAAATATCAGCCAATTGGGATTACTATTCCCAATATATGGAAAACTAAAACATGTTCCAAGCCACCAACCAGTATATGAATATGGGATTGTACATAAGAATAATAATGGAAACATAAACGGAATCTATAGATTGATGGATATCAATGGCTAAGATGTGAGGACTTAGAGGACCAAGTCACAACCAGAGGTTTCCGGCTATCCTGCATCTCCCGCCTATCCATGCCGGAAAAAACATAATTGAGCCATGAGAAAAAAAACTATTGCATATTATTGCACCCCAGTATACTGGTTGATAAAAGGCTTGCCTCTTCTCTTATGGGTTTAAAACAAAAAAACATCCCCGATGAACCACTTGGTAAAACCCCCCTATAATAACCGACAAGGGTCTATAGTCAATTTAATGGCTCAAATCATTGAACATAATTCAACCATTGAAGTTCATTGATGAAAATTTCAAGATGTAATTGTAGTTCCTGTCCATCTGTCCTTTCTGGCCTTCCATATGAAATCTTTTGCCACGTGACACGAATCAATCACATGTATTGCTAATCTTGGACTCCCTGCAAGAGAAACTATAGATTGTTGGCTCGGTAAATGGTGTTTCTTATAATTGGGGGATCCCCAAGTCACCATGCTTGTTTCAATACTAAAGTTACTAAAGTATAATCTAATGACATGGATGATTTGGGGGTATCGCCATGACTGAGGAGATGTCCATTGTCCAGGAATAGCATCTCAGCGGGAGAAGACAATGGAAACTGCCCCAATCACCAGCAGGTGCAGTTGGGATTACGAGCCACGGATAGCCACCCCCAGAACTGGTGGCTAGACCCTAGAACTCGGTTTTTTGAAATCCACTTACCCTCTGGTAAACAGCCACATAACTATGGAAAATCACCATGCTATCAATGGGTAAATCCACGATAAATCACCATTTTCAATGGCTATTTTGACATAACCAGAGGATCAGAGGGTAGAACTGGAAATGCACCCCAAAAAGTCGGGGAAACATTTTTCTTTCCCATGAAATCCAAAAAAAAATCTTGTCACCAGTCACAAAAAAAACCAGGGAGCATCGAGTTGTGGAAACATTGATACTCGTTACCGCTGCCAAACCTGCAGGGAAGGCAGCTGCGAAGCGGATCATCGCTGAATCCTACGGTCCTAGGGGGGTTCGACAAAATGGATCAAAATGGATGGTGTATAATGGAAAATCAGATTAAAATCCATGATTTTGGGGGAACGTCCATTTTAGGAAACAGTGAATTTCCACAAAACAACTTTAAACTAATATCCGCCGACCCCGGCCTTTCCCAAGGCAGGGGCGGCGCCTGGGACCACCGCAGGTGTGGAACTTGTTTGTCTTGGCTGGGAAAGCTTCCCTGCTGCGCGGCAGCTTCGATCAGCTTGCCGTTTGCCTGCCGTTTGCCTCCATTGCCCTCTGTTGTTAAGGCGTCCATGCCTGCTGCTTGCCAGCCTTCAAACCTTTAAATAGCGTGCCGTTTGCCAGCCTTCAAACCTTTCAAGCCTCCCTTCGCGGCCGCTTCCACCTGGCGTTTGCCAGCGTTCAAACCTTTCAAACCTCTAAAGCCCTCCAAATCCTTCGAGGCAGCTTCCACCAAGCCCTGCTGTGAGTCTTTGCTCCAGCGCTGCAGCCTGCCGTTTGCCTGCACATAGCCCTCTGTTCTTAGGGCGTTCAAGCCTGCTGTTGGCAGGCTCCAAACCCTTAAAACCTATAAAATGCTCCAAATCCGTCGCGGCAGCTTCCACCAAGCCCTGCTGTTCCAGCGTTGGAACCTGCCGTTTGCCTGCATAGCCCTTTGTTGTTAGGGCGTCCATGCCTAGGGCGCCTCCCGGCAGCTGCCACCAAGCCTTGTGGCCGTAAGCCTCTGCTGTTGCAGGGCTGCCGCCTGCCGTTTGCCTGCACATAGCCCTCTGTTCTTAGGGCGTTCAAGCCTGCCGTTTGCCAGGCTCCAAACCCTTAAAACCCCTAAAATGCTTCAAATCCGTCGCGGCAGCTTCCACCAAGCCCTGCTGTGAGCCTTTGCTGTTCCAGCGTTGGAACCTGCCGTTTGCCTGCATAGCCCTCTGTTGGGGCGTCCATGCCTAGGGGCGCAGCCTGCACATAGCCATCTGTTCTTAGGGCGTTCAAGCCTGCCGTTTGGCAGGCTCCAAACCCTTAAAACCCCTAAAATGCTTCAAATCCGTCGCGACAGCTTCCACCAAGCCCTGCTGTTCCAGCGTTGGAACCTGCCGTTTGCCTGCATAGCCCTCTGTTGTTAGGGCGTCCATGCCTAGGGCGACTCCCGGCAGCTGCCACCAAGCCTTGTGGCCGTAAGCCTCTGCTGTTAAAGCGCTGCAGCCTGCCATTTGCCTGCACATAGCCCTCTGTTCTTAGGGCGTTCAAGCCTGCCGTTTGGCAGGCTCCAAACCCTTAAAACCCCCAAAATGCTTCAAATCCGTCGCGGCAGCTTCCACCAAGCCCTGCTGTGAGCCTTTGCTGTTCCAGCGTTGGAACCTGCCGTTTGCCTGCATAGCCCTCTGTTGTTAGGGCGTCAGCTTTTCGATCTTCCAAACATGATATGTTGGAGCAGTAATCCATCATCCCCGCTGCAGATGATTCACAATCTCATTTTCAAACGTATACACAATGTCCATATATATATATACATACATAAATACGTTCAAAATATATTTACCCCAAACATGATTTTGTTAAATGATGAATCCATATCAACCCCTATCATTCAGGGGATGAATTTCACCAGCTGAGGTCATGGATGGCGGTGGTTTCCGCGTGCAAAGCAGCTTCCCCAAGGAGACCGCGGAGGTGCCATATGGACAGCTGCAGACTAATTTATAGCGGTGAAGATTAGATGAAGAATATGAAGATGATCATTTCACATCATCTGAGGATCTGAGGATTTCTAGTCATCATCTAGTCTAGATCCTGATTCTATTTCATATCCCCAGTATTTTCCATGTGTCTTTGATATATTTTTTGTTGATATCTTTAATCAACTTAAATCAACATTTAGTCGCTTGCACCTTCAGCCTGCGAAATGCGGCCCTGTCCATCCCCAGGTGCGGCAACACGAGCTGCGAAATGCCCATACTTGATGATAAAAAATGATGATCATCTGGTAGCTACAAGTTTGATGGTTGTCCACCCGAAATAGGCTCAGTACGCTGTGACTTCCATGGGATTCATATCATCCATCGGGGGGAAAAATGCACGTTGACCCATCCGCAATTTGTGATTGCAAAATATGGTTGAACAATCAAACTCACCATTTTTCAAAGGCTACAGCATATTAAACTTTACGAACCTGTATGTTTTTTTGTTGAATCCATGTTTTTTCATAAGTCTAGACGCCTGCTTTTTGCTGGGTTGAAGCCATTTCGTATAGACAGGATCGACCTCCCAAACGAAGTCTGGTGAGGCATCTGAAATCTGACCCCACGAGTTCAAGGCAGGCGTCCAGCCGCGGTGAGAGAAATAGAACACTTCACGACCAGCCAGTGCCTCGAGGGAGCAGGCATCCAATGATTTCCCCCTGTGACTGATACAAATGCGAACAGGTCACCTGACACCTGCATCTCCAATCATTGGATGGTTTTAGAAGGAAATTCTGCAGGAAACCATCGTGCCCTCGAATATTGGGGTTTCCCTGTAGGTTTTCCATGAAATATCTATTGAATATTTTCCATTTTCAATCCATTCTGGGAGCCAAGCTGCCTTTGCCTTTGCCATGCTTGCCACCGAATTGGCTGCCGTGCCCTCGCGTTGCGGCTGATGTAGATGTCAACGCAGCCGCTTTGGTTGTTGTCCTGCCAAGACGAAACAAAAAGGCACAGCCCAAAGAACAAACAAGTTGATAGATGTTGATAGTGTATACTATACGAATGCGTATGCTATACGAATATGTAACAGTCAATCGAACAAGTAAACAGTCATGTGGTAAAAATGGCATTGTTTTAGCCCCAACCAGCGGTATATCAACTCATAGTTCATCCCATGGTGCCGATTCCAAATTCGTGGATACTGATCATTGCACTGTAACTGTTATAACCCAAGAAAATCATCAGGTAACCATAATTCACAACATTTCACAAGTTCATATATCACTATATGTTCGTTGTTGAATCCCTTGCTCTCGTGATGTGTAAGTCATTAGATCACCAAGAAGTCAAACTTCTCAAGCCATTTGGAGGTTTCCTCAAATGAGGGTACCCCCAAATCATCCAGCTATTGGGGTATCCCCAGAAATTGGAAATCCCATGTGGTTTTGGCAGCAACCTCTCCTGACTTGGCATCGGCTGGAGCCCCGGATGCCTAGGGCGCCTCCCGGCAGCTGCCACCAAGCCTTGTGGCCGTAAGCCTCTGCTGTTCCAGCGCTGCAGCCTGCCGTTTGCTTGCACATAGCCCTCTGTTCTTAGGGCGTTCAAGCCTGCCGTTTGCCAGGCTCCAAACCCTTAAAACCCCTAAAATGCTTCAAATCCGTCGCGGCAGCTTCCACCAAGCCCGGCTGTTCCAGCGTTGGAACCTGCGGTTTGCCTGCATAGCCCTCTGGCGGAGCCTGGGGCCACCGCAGGTGTGGAGCCTGTTTTTGTTGGCTTGCCACTACCTTGCCTTCCGCCAGCTCCGACAAGGCACCAAGGGCACAGTCACAGCATGTCACAGCCACATTGCACGCTTCAAACGCAACAACGCTCGCCAGGCCTCAAACCCTTAAAATGCCTCAAACCCTCCGCGGCAGCTTGGACCAGGCACTCAGGCCACAGCCCTCTGTTGTTAAGAGCGTTTAATCCTGCCGTTTGCCAGGCCTCAAAGCCCTAAAACCCTCCGCGGCAGCTTGGACCAGGCACTCAGGCCACTGCCCTCTGTTGTTAAGGGCGTTCAAGCCTGCCGTTTGCTAGGCGTCAAACCCAACCCTCCGCGGCAGCTGGGACCAGGCACTGAGGCCAGTGCCCTCTGTTGTTAAGGGCGTTCAAGCCTGCCGTTTGCCAGGCCTCCAACCCCTAAAACCCTCCGCGGCAGCTGGGACCAGGCACTCACACCACTCCCCTCTGTTGTTAAGACGTTCAAGCCAGCCAGCCGTTTGCCAGGCCTCAAACCCCTAAAACCCTCCGCGGCAGCTTGGACCAGGCACTCAGGCCACTGCCCTCTGTTGTTAAGGGCGTTCAAGCCTGCCGTTTGCTAGGCGTCAAACCCTTATAATGCCAAAAACCTTTCGCAGCAGCTTCGACCAGGCACTCAGGCCACTGCCCTCTGTTGTTAAGGGCGTTCAAGCCTGCCGTTTCCCAGGCCTCAAACCCCTAAAACCCTCCGCGGCAGCTGGGACCAGGCACTGAGGCCAGTGCCTCTGTTGTTAAGGGCGTTCAAGCCTGCCCCGCGGCAGCTGGGACCAGGCACTCAGGCCTCTGTTGTTAAGGGCGTTCAAGCCTGCCGTTTACCGACTCAGCGGCCCTACACAGCACTGTCTAATTCAAATGGCTCAACCCTCCGCAGCAGCGCTACGCATTGTCTTGTTGAGGGCTCAAGACTTCAAACCCCTAAACGCTCCGCAGCCACCCTACACACTGTCTTGTTGACGCTTCAAGGCTATTTGCGAGCCTCCCAACCCCTTACACACTGTCTTGTTGGAGCTGCACGAGTGCCAGCCTTCAGACCCCGGCCCTCAACGCTCCGCAGCGGCCCTACACAGTGTTTTGCTGAAGCTTCTACTCAAGACCCCCGGTTGCCAACCTTCAAACGCGTCCACCCTCCGCAGCGGCCTTACACACTCTATTGTTGAGGCGTTCGGCCGTTTGCCGGCCTTCAGACGCGTACTGTCCGCACCGGCACTACACATTCTGTCGTTGGGGTTCACGAGTGCCGTTTGCCAGCCTTCAGACCTTTATTCAAACCGTTAAACCCTCCGCAGCGGCTCTACACACTGTCTTGTTGAGGCTTCCAGACCACCGTTTGCTAGCCTTCAATCCCCAGCCACACTGTCTCGTTGGGGCTTCAAAGGGGGGTCGGCGGCACCCGGGCGTTAGCCCATTCTATATATAGTGGTATAAGCTACGTTTCGATCTTTTTCGGGGTTAATGTAAACTGCCGTATTTTTTTAAAATGATTTTCTATGCACTGTTGTTGTAGTTCGTTTCAATTTGGGAACCTGAGGCACCAAAACCTTGTATAAAGATGGTGTGTCAGAACTCAAGTGTGAGAAACAGCGATCCAACATGCATTTGGATTGATCAATCCATTTATTTACCCATTAAAACATGCATTCACCACACAATTTGAATACTTTTGCCAACAACTCCTATTGACAAGGCTTTGGCAACCCAGCTGCAGGCCAAAGTCGTTCACGAGTTTCAAGATGTCTCCCTTCATCGCCTGAAATGCTGTGGAAAAGAGAGGCGGCCACATGACCAACTATTAATTGGTAAACAACCAAGATTGGTGGTATGTTGGATTTCTTCGATTTGTCGTTTCTGACCGTTTACTATCACAACCTTAATTATAAACATCTGAGGAAAGGTACCCCGGCAGCCCGGTACCCCCCACAAGAACGGAGGAAGCACCTTTAGATTGCCATGTCATCATTTGTCGTCCATGCTAACCCCCAGCTGCCCCCAGTTGTAAGCAGGGCAAGAAGGGTTGGTCCAGCCATCAGGAACGGTGAACTTAGTAACTAAGCCACACACACAAAAAAAAAACAAAACGCCAGTTTGCACCACCAACTACAACGCCAAACATTCCAACTCATCCACTCATTGGTGGTTTCAACCCCCCTGAAAGATATGAGTTCATCAGATTGGATCATCATCCCACTTATTGGGGAAAATAAAAATATATAAAAATCATGTTCCAAACCACCATCCAGTTTTACCAAGTACTCCCATCCTTTCAGCCCCAAGGACTTGGCCCAGGTACTCGGTAGTTGTTTTTACCCATCTCTGGAGAAGTTTCATCGTGGTAGGTGTTCACCACCTGGGTCCGGGCTGTTCACCACAACGGGAAGGACCTAGGGGAAAGGATGGGAAGGGACCCCGGACCTACATGCGACAACAAACTTGGCAAACAATAGGTGGACTTATGTAGTTCATGGTGGAGATAATCTTTTCACCAAACAAAATGTGGATCTAATATGATATGGGCAAGAATTTCTTTGGGTATACTCAGCAAAAGTGGGAATATGAATGGACAAAAATGGTACTTCTGCATACTGGATGTTCATCACCATCATCACGGAGTTTTCAATTGTTCTCTGTAAAATCCCACTTGGGGTCTTGTGAAAAACCCGAGCCCTTTCAAATGTTTTTTGTTTTTTTCACATGTTATCATTTTTTTCTCCTCTTATCGTTTTCCCAAGCGCTGGCTTCACACCTTGACCAAAGGATTCACATGAGCGAGGACAGGGAAAAGGAAAAGGAAGAATAAAGGAATTCGAAGGGAAAGGACAGAATACGAAAGGGAGAGGAAAAGGAAAGGAAAAGGGAAAAGAACGGAAAAGGATTGAAAAGGAAAGGAAAACAAAAGGAAAAGGAAAGGAAATTGAAAGGAAAGCACAGGAATAGGAAAGGAATAGGAAAGGAATAGGAAAGGAAAAGGAAAAAGGAAAGAAAAAGGAAAGAAAAAGGAAAGAACAAAGGAAAGAAAAAGGAAAAGGAAGAGTAAAGGAAGGGAAAGGAAAAAGGAGAGGAAAAAGGAGAGGAAAGGGAGAGGAAAGGGAAACCAAGTCTTGGTTTGCGTAACAATCCTCATATTTGGTAATTAACAATCCTCATGTAATTAACAATCCTCATGTTTGATGAGAAAACCATCCTTGATACACTCAGGTTCTGGTCCCCAGTCCCCCTTCCGAGACCCAGCCGCTTTGCGCTTCAAAGCGCGCAGAAACTGCTCGTTGCGTTCATCGATCTCGGGATAGTGATGGCGCAGCTCCGGCTCCAGGTCGTACACCTCGCAGGCTGCTTCCAAGCAGAGCTGGGGGGAGATCTGGAAGGTTCAACCGTTCAACCCCGCTGGGATTCAAATCTTTCGTAATCTTTAGTTCCTACTTTAAGATATTTCAAATTTTTATATATATATATATAATATATAATATATATATATAATATATATATATATACGTAGGTATTACCAAAGATTTCATAGATTTCCCCAGTTGCACGATTTCAATCTCTGGGACTTCTGCATCACGCATGCAAACCGTTCAAAACAGGAATGGGAACAACACTGGGACCCTGGAACTCTCAAGTGGATAAGATGTGGGGTTTTATTGTCACAACACGGGATAATCATGGGGACAACATAAGCAACCCAAAATGAGGATTTAGGCAAACCAAATATAGATTTTACATGAATTTACCAACAAACATGTGGAATTGAGGTGGATATAACCTGCATTTCTGGGATAAAATGGGGATAAACAATCATGAGACATAAGGATTTGCCGAACTTCATGGATTGAGTAGAGAGAACCGAGGCGAATGATGCACTGAAGCGGGCCCAACCATCACCAACCACTCACCAGCCATTCCAGGTATTGCTTAACCGGCTTAACCCCCCAAATTTCGCTATCTAAATCCAACCATTCACCAACCCCTTTGCCAAGCCAGTCTTTGTGAAGTCGTTGTGACCCAGAGCCCTGCGCCGCGGCGCCCGGCCAGCTTGAGTCCCCCGGGCACCTGCACGTTCCAAATCAAGTAGACCCAGCCCTGCGGCTTCAAAACGTCGCAGAACTGCTGTAGAACCTCCTGGTGATGGCAACGCTGTCGCAAATAGTCAACCCTCCAAGAGAGGCTCCTTCCCTTTTTGGCCGGGAACAGCACGTTCAAGAGCAATAACTACCATTCATCTCCCTGTGGCCATCAGAAAAAAAAACAGAATAGGTTGGAGAAACCCTGCTATACCTATCAGATTTTATTGTTTGAGGCTGCTCAGATTAGATAGCTAGGTTCAGTATGGTACAGTAAGTAGTCAATAAGTAGGTCAAACAACGCTTCTAAGAAGTGGGAAGTATCGAAAGGATATGCCCCATGTGGCCACCCATGCACAATTTCACCACAATTAGCTCACGACATCTAAGTACGGCATCATTTTAAGCATTGTTGGAAACCCCCAAATCATACATGTGCAGTATATATCTACCAGGGTTTGCCCCACAAAAAATGGCCACATGAATCCGTTTAAGCTATATGTTCTTAACATACTGTGGATGGAAGAAATCCTGCACATCCTAATTCTCTTTTCAATGTCTGTCACCAATAGTTACCAACTGGTGCAGGATTTCTTTCATCCACAGTCAGTATGTACGAGTTGGCCCTGCTCCTTTTCTTGATCGAAATCTTTCATTCACATCGTGTCGCGAGTTCACGCGGCGAGTCCTCTGTCGCGAACCAATGGAAAGCAGTGGCCACGGAAATCGCATTGATGCTTCCGGGGCGGAAAAGGCCTCAGAACTCTTCAGAACTCATCAATTCAGCCTGGAGACCCAATTCATCCATATATTTGTTGCCGGTAAATTTGCCGATTTACCCTCCAAATAGCCCATGAGAAATGGTAAACCTGGTAAACATGTTGAAATTATGGGAAAACACACATTTTAATGGGTACAAACAAGAGTATCTAGGTACATACATTTGATATAAAGAAAATACAAATGTAGGTGAATATGTTCTAGACAACATGTAAACACGATCTTCACTGCTGGAACATCAATACTTCACGGATGCTAACGAAACCAATTTGGGACCATGTCCTGCAGTCTATGTGATCATACGCTCATTGGTTCCATGGTATCCCCATCTCTGCTGAAACGTCCATCTCAATGATATCTTTGAATTGGGCCATTCACGAGAAAACACATGCGGAACTATCAGCCAATTGGCTGCACGTTGTAGAAAACATAATGTTGTTTGTTGACCACTTGTGTCAGGTTGTACGCACAAAGTCGCAATGTTAAATCTTGTTATACATAACATTTGTTTATTTTATTTTATTTTTTGTATGGACAGGATAGCCAGATCACCATCACTCTTATCAACATCCCGGAGTTCAGCTCTCAAGATTCAATATTGCATACTTATATAATTGATTTTGACTCACAAACTGGATGCCCCGCATCACTTAAAAATAACGGTTTCTCCAACAGATGGGTGCACCCAAAGCCGTTGGTTTCCCCACTTTGAAGAAATGATCATTTGACAGGGTACTCCAAAGACACCCAAAAGTTAAAATTTAACTTTCGGGTGTCTTTGGAGTTCTCCATATGGGGTTTCCAAAAATGGTGGTTCCACCAAATCATCCATTTATCATTTAATGGATTCTCCCTTATTAACCATCCAGCTATTGGGGTACCACCATTTTAGGAAACCTCCATATGTTCCCCACTTTAGGAAACCACCATACCCCACTGGTAATTTAACATAGCTATTGAAAATCACATTTTTTAATGGGAAAATCCACTATTAATGGTCATTTTCAAAAGCTACGTTAAATTACCAGAGGGTACAAAAACCAGCCATTCCATCCACCCAAAAAAAACCGCCAGCTCTCCAGCTCTCCAGCCCCCGTTACGACGCCGCGTTGCGCGTCAAGTCCTTGGCGCTACCATCGTGCACAACGACTTCGTTGCAGCTCGAGAACTTGCTGCGCAGCACTTCGCGGAAGTTCACCACGGGCTCCACAGCATGGACCTGGCGGCTCGGTGACCCGAAATCGGGTGTCATCAAACATAGGAAATCTCCAAAGTAATGGAGGTGTATAGCTGGGAAAATCACGGAAGTCAGGGGTAGAACTTGCGGTAAAAACGGAAGTCATCAGCAAAATCAACGACGTCGGTTGACATCGTTTGAGTTGACCAACAATCGTTAGGTAGCACTAATTGGACTTTTGACCAAAAATGGTTTGGCAATTACTAACCCAAAACTTTGGGGATTTGAACTTCATAACGAACCAAGACACCCTCATAGAAACTTAGTGTTACGTCTTAAACAAATTGACCCTCAATGGCACTACATTGGTAAGGAAAACACCGATCTATGACAACTCTAATGGGAAAAACATGTTTTAGACCAGAAATTCTCCAACAAATCCAAAGTAAGATCTGCGCTAACCAAAATGGTGGTTTCACCAGAGAACAACAAGTCGCAGACCTCTGATAAAAAATCTTTGAACATATGTAGAAACAAACGTGAAATAAACATAGAAACAAAAAACGGGAAGACATTCTCATCATTCCGAATCATTCCTCTTTCAAAACCATGGTCAAGGCATGGTATCGCAGATTCATCATCAGGGATGAACCCACCTCTCACAGCAATAAGGAGCATAGGCTTGACAGGGCTTAGGAGTTATTTGAGATCCATTTGAGATTTTATTCTTCAGTCCATAAGCTTTAGGCCTCGGCCTATCCATGCCTATCCTACATTTTATCTCATTTTTTACATGTTTTGGAATCACGACCATAACAAAACTGCAGCAAAAAAAAGTCAAACTTATGTGAATTCCAAAATGCATCAAACTGCTACGCTTCACACCCTAAACTGGCCAGACACATAGAAAAACAGCATCCTACTAAGTACATCTAAATATTAGTGCAGAAATGAATGTAAATGACGCAATTTCTTTTGAGGTGCATAATCGAATCCCCCGTTCATATTAAACACGGCCATTCAAACAGGTCTCAAGGTTGGGTTTCATCCATATGAAATCATGGTTTCTGGAGGCATTTAGAGCATTTAGTGAACAGGGGATGGCATTTCTGGATTTCTCTTGTAAGGAGCTTTCGGGTTTCTTCAGTGCATTAAGAATTGAAGGACATATAAGGGCATTTTTTTGTGGGAAAAACAGTGCCATAAACCATCCATTTCGGAATGGTTTATACGAGTACCACCTATAAAAATGGGGATTTGGGGATGGTTTATGGTTGTTTTACCCACCTTCATCAACATCAGCTTCAATTCCAGCATTTTTGTTCTTCATTCAACTTGTCCCCCGATTTTTGTTTGTTGACACTATTCAATCCCATTTGTACCCCATATGCTCCATGTATTCAATATTTACCTACATTTACCCCTTACAAATCAACCAGTCTTGTAGGTAAATATGCCATACATGGAGCATCTGGGTACTGTTTTACCCACATGATGACTCTTTTGCTGTTCAACAGTCAGTGGCCCCAGTGGCGCATGTCAAGTGCCACGTTGGATCCCCGGAATTTTGCCTGGAACTTTGCCGCGGTCGTGTTGGGCCCTTGGAAATAGTTCACCAACCTCGCGAAGCTGAAGCTATGGATTGACATGGATTTACCACTCAAAAAACTCTAAACATTGTCTGGTTGGTGGTTGACCTACCCCTCTGAAAAATGATGGAGTGAAAGTCAGTTGGGAGTATTCTTCCCAATACATGGAAAGTCATAAAACATGTTCCAAACCACCAAGCAATTGTTTTATTTTTCTGGGAAACACTCTAAACATATGAGGTTTCATGGGAATTGGCTTTGATGACCGAATCAATAAAAAATACTCGATGGATGAGCTTAGTTTGGAATTAGGAAACCTGTAGACCTGAGTCGCATCCAGTAGCCAGTCATGCTGGGATGTAGACACAATGACTGGCAGTTTATATAATCATCTCCCTGAACAAAGAAAAATCATTGGAGATTCTCAGTCCAATTCTTCCGAAATCATGAGAAAGCGGAAATCACTCCCCAGATCAGCCTTGCATCGGGTATTTTATGTGGTTGCCTTGAAGAATTCAATGACCCAACTCGTCAGCCAAAGGAGCCGGGCTCATTTTTTTTAAAATGAAACCTCAAGATCCAAAACCATTGAAATTAACAATTAGGTTCAACATTTAATTATTGGAATGATAGTGTTAAAGATATCTTATTGAATCCTCTTTTCGCAATTAGGAATTAAAATGAAGCGAGCAAGATACTGTTGAAGAATGTTGAAAAGAAGAAATGCATGCGTGGTCTTGCCCCCCACCGCCGTTCATGCCGTATATCCACATGACCACCTGGTGGCACCGCCCAGCAACGTTGAGGTCCATTTCCCCGTGCCAGCACCGAGATCCACCACCGTGGAAGCGCCAAGATTTTTGGTGAAGATTCTGTCCAGAAGTTTTGTTGCAGAGCTGGGATACCTCAGCAGAACACGGTTATATAGTTATATACCATCTGATTATTTAACAGTTTGCCATGGAAAGATCCACCATGCTATTAATAGGTAAATCATCTATAAATGGGCCATTTTCCATGGCTGTGTTAAATAACCAGAGGTTATATGATGTTATATACGTCATAATCTCTCAGACTATATATATATGTTGGAATCTAGAATGACCATGAACAACCCATGTTTGATTACTGAAATGTTGAACTGGCTTTACCTGAAAATGTCTGAGTATATTTGAGTATATTATAATATTATATATCGTACCCCAAACTCTGGCTTGTTCAATGCTGGCTTGTTCAATGTGGGAGGCATTTTACTTTTCGGGGCTAGTTTTTTTGGGTATCCCGCTTAGATATATCTAGTTCAAGAATCGCCCAAGGTTTATCAATCCAATCGAGGTTGATAGGGAGCATGTCAGATATGTCAGATTCATCATTGGGCTTCAATGGTATATGTATATGTTCAATTAACAATTTTTCTGAAAGGTCCGCATGCCCAACTTCAGCCACCCAAACTGTCGACCGCAGGTCACTCATTCCCGGACATCACCAGACTTGCTGTTGGAATACTACTGGTATCTACCGGTAATCAAGCATGGATATATATATATATATATTTCTATAATTATATATTTTTATATTATATTACATATTATATATATAGCTGGGAAATCAACCGTTTTAGTTCGATGTTTTTTTGAACGAAGTACCAATGTCCTGTATTAGATGCAGGGCCTAGGGGAGTTCCCAGCTAGCCATGTTTCATTACCGGAGGACAGGTGTGCCTTGCTTCATGCCCTTTTGCATTCCCCACCAGATTTGACAAGACACGTGGGCCGACCCTTCTCATACTCAGACATGCGAGAGAATCCCTCCTGCTTCTGCGGTGATCCGTGTCCCACGAGAGAACATCACCCGAACATTCTTGATTTGAAGTAGCTCGGGGAAAATGACAAATAATGCCTTCACTGGAAACAAATAATTCTTAAGCTGATTCCCCTTTCCATCATTTTATCGTGAGGCTATTGTGAGATATCACTTACCCGTTTTTTTCCGCGGCCTTGTGCAACAAAATAAAGAAACATCAATTAATCATATATATATATATATATATCATGTATCCATACATATATCCATATATATATATCGATCCATTAAAATTGTTTAAAAATTATCAATTCACTGATGGATCTGATGGTTTGTCCTGCGCAAACTGATGAACATTGCTTGGCCCCGCAGCAGCCCTTCGTTGCAGCGGCCGGATGGAGTGCCGTCCTGGGCATTGCAGGTCAAGGGTCGAAGGTGGTGCGGAAAGGGGTGCCCACCATGTCGACTTGGATGTGGCATTGTACAATGGCTGGTGGTCCATTTTGTTATTGGGGATGATATATTCCTATAGATACCTAGGAAAATCATGTCAACTGGCTTTAGTGATTTAGTGTGTGTAGTTTGTTACACCACCTCTGCTGGCAATCGCGTCTCTTGCGATTTTTGTTTATACACACACACGCACACTTGCTCAGAAACATCTTTGCGAATTCTGATGTGGAGTGCATCTTACGTGCAAAAACGCATCAGTTAAACCTGACAGGAGACATTGGATGATCAGGAGTGAAAAACTGTGCGAAGAAAATCTTTCAATGTCCTTGCTGAAGGAATCAAATTGTTCTGATGCAGCTTAGTCTTCCTTTATTGACCGTATGTAGTTCCAGATTGCCACAACAGTGCAGAAATGAAATGAAATGTAAATCAAATCGACACGCCGGTTCTTGGCTTGGCCGGTCGCCATTTCTGAACATTGACATCGAAAGAATGAAGCAGGTACGTCACGGTGATCAGCCGTGATATCCGCATGTACTGTGGCCGCTTCGTTGGACCATCGCTCACAGTACATGGATGGTCCCCCTGCTGAACAACAGTTTGTTTTGTAAAATCAGAAATTCAAAAAAGACAAACCGGTTAGAAGTTTTACATCTTTTCAGATGTTTCACACACACGCCCCGCTGCCGCGGGGCATTTAAGGCCCCGACGAATGAGATGAAGGTGAAAATGAGAGAAAAATGAAAATGAAATGACGATGAAGATGAAATGACAATTACTTAACCGGAACACAAGAGGGGGAACGCAAAAAGGAAAAGGGAAAGAGAAAACACCAACACCAACACACCTAGCCCGAAACGGGCAAACCCTGAAAGGGCAAGGGAAAAGAAAAAGCGGACGGACGACGGGCCAAAAACCAACCAGAGGAGGGGGGGCGCACAGAAGCGCCTGACACAACCTACAAGGCGAGAGCCAAAACTGACCTCGGCACGCGAAGGACCCAAACCTAACCTAGAAAGGGAGCACGCATGAGATAGGGGACCAATGGGGACGTAGTTGAAGAAAAATGATATATCCACATAACGTGCATAATTCGTGATAAGGCTCAAGGCCCTCGGTATTCAAGTCAACCCCATCGACGGCTATCAGTGTTCAAATGAATTACGTGCACAATTGAACCTCACCAACGACCATAAAAAGAAAAAGCACCATACCTGCAAGCATGTCCTTTTGCCTGATCATGTGAGCATGCCTGACATGTGGTCAGTCTCTTGAGCAGCACTCAAAAGGAGGCGTTGTCGCGGCTTCAGTCTACAAACCCGGTGAAGTCTGACAAAAACGGATGATTCCCAGGTACAGCGGGCAGCTGTTCAACACACTTGACAGTCGACAAGGTGAAAATCGAAAAATGGCCGGCAGTTCACTTTACTTAGACGAATTACTAAATTCAAAAGTGTCAATTCAGAGGCCGATTCAACGTGTCAGTTCTTTGCTTAGACAAGCATTCCCCGAAGGGTTCATGCCACCTTGACGAATCCAGCATGAATCACACACTTGCTCAGAAACATCTTTGCAAATTCTGATGTGGAGTGCATCTTACGTGCAAAAACACATCAGTTAAACCTGACAGGAGACATTGGATGATCAGGAGTGAAAAACTGTGCGAAGAAAATCTTTCAATGTCCTTGCTAAAGGAATCAAATTGTTCTGATGCAGCTCAGTCTTCCTTTATTGACCGTATGTAGTTCCAGATTGCCACAACAGTGCAGAAATGAAATGAAATGTAAATCAAATCGACACGCCGGTTCTTGGCTTGGCCGGTCGTCATTTCTGAACATTGACATCGAAAGAATGAGGCAGGTACGTCACGGTGATCAGCCGTGATATCCGCATGTACTGTGGCCGCTTCGTTGGACCATCGCTCACAGTACATGGATGGTCCCCCTGCTGAACAACAGTTTGTTTTGTAAAATCAGAAATTCAAAAAAGACAAACCGGTTAGAAGTTTTACATCTTTTCAGATGTTTCACACACACACACACAGCCTGCGACGCACGTAGACCAAAACAATGGGTCAGAAACCGCCAGCTTCCAAATCGTACGGGACCTGATCAGTGTGATTGCTGCAGCCAGTAGGTGAGTGTTGATTTCTTTCCTTCGAAGTCTTAAACAATTATCACAGAGTTGCTTCCGATACAGTTTTCGCCTAGCTTCCGCGATGCAGAAGCTAGCTTCCGCGAGATGCCTCTGGAGCTCGAAAAATCACTACATGTTGCGCGTTAGAAACCTTCGAAAAATGCAAAACGCCCTCCCGCAACTGCCCAGGCCGAAGTTTTGAGGAATTCCTTCCCGTGATTTGATCGCCACTGATGGCCTGGAATGGCCTGGAATTTGATAAATGATAGATATTGATAGTTCTAAGGACTGGGATATAGGTCACGACTGCATGGTTCCCAGCCAATTTCAAACATTTTCTGAGTTCTGAGATTCCTTTGATCATCAGATATCATCAGATTGGTTGAATGGAACATTTATAGGAAACAAGCATGATGAGTGGGGAAAACCCATGGTTTCCTGCAGATTTTCCGTCAATGAGGGGTACCCGGCACGGTATCATCCCAGTGCCCTGAAAACAAGGCACTGCAAGCAAGGTGTCGCGAGAGCCGGGCCGCCATGGCAACGTTTCTTCGTTTCTATTGGCAGCTGTGAAACAACTTGAGCCAAGCAATCCATTCCCGCTAGCCTCCAGTAAATTGACCTATAGACCTTGCTAAATAGAAGCTTTTGTTGGATTTTTTCCGCTTCTGCATGTGTTTTATCACCAATTGTTTATCAGGGACAGTCAGTATATGTGACATGAATTTAGATTATTTTAGATTTACCCTCTGGTAAACTAACATAACTATGGAAAATCACCATGGTTAATGGGAAAATCCACTATAAATGGGCCATTTTCCATAGCTTTTTGGTATGTTTACCAAAGGGTAGGGGATGGTCCGACTGGTGAAATCACCTGGCCCTTTAGGTCGAAAAAATCCCCTGGAGGCATCGTTAAAAATCTCACCGATTTTTGGGGTTCGACATAAATCGATGGGTTGAACTGATTGGTGGTTGAGCCACCTACCATTGTGGTTTTTATATACTGTTAATAATGGTTGATGATGATGATGATTATTATATGGTTGTTATATGGTTAATGATGGTGAATAATAATCTGGTTGGTGGTTGAGCCACCTACCTACCGACCCCTCTGAAAAATGATGGAGTGAAAGTCAATTGGGATGATTTTCCATTCCCAACTGAATGGAAAGTCATAAAATTCCTGTTCCAAACCACCAACCAGATATCAAATAACCATAGTTGCAGGTTGTAGGTGCTATATCCCTTTTTTTTCCTGGAGGTGCTATAACCATGGTCATACTTTATACACCCATTTATAACCCCAACTGCACACCCAAGTATGCATCCACAGTTTGCCCAAGAAACACGCTACCTTCAGCCTCACCTCACCCAGTCAAGTCCAGACAAAGCTGCTGACTGTCGTGCTACATCCTTCAAGATCTTGAAATTTCATCTGGAAGCTTTGAATAGTGTCATTTGACATGATTTCAACTGGAAGAAAAAACAACATCTCATCTGGAACCTTCAAACATGGCCGTTTCATAAAAAAAATCACGAGGAAATACTTCTGTTCACATCTTACAAAACCATTCTTGGAGGTTCCAGGTCAGTTTTTCCAGGTCACTTTTCAGGGCTGCAGTGGAGATTTGGAGATTTGCAACAAACATCAACGAGAGTCTATGGGGAACCTCTGTGGGAAATGGGTCAACGACAATCTATGTCATCTATGTCTAGGTTCATGCCGGGTATGGCTCAAGAAGTGCCCTGTGGGAAATGATGAATCGAGACTTTTTTTTGCGACCTCTCCAATCCCCATGAATGGCTGTTTGGTGCTACCCAGGGAAATCATTCAACTTAAGCCATCTTTTTAAGGCACATGTATGGCACATGCGAATGATATCATCCCATGATTGGTTCCCAACAAACCACTATCCCCAGATTTTGCTGAACACCATCTTGTCATGAGTTGAAAATAATCCCCGACATAGCACAATCAAAGAACTAACATTTTTTGGTGAGCTACCCTTTTCCTTGTTTTGTTTTCGGTGGATAGACCCACGGCACAGCAACAACAAACATGTGCGGCTCCACTGTTTATAGGATTGCACTTCCTTGATATCGTGAACCTCAGCAGTTCACGGAGTGCCTTTTATTTGCTGACCACAACTAGCTTATTGTGGCAACATCAATCTAAAAAGTAGGATGGGGCATCAGAATGATGATCATGACAACAGACTTCGGGTTTGATTCCTGCTCCAACTTAGGGGTTGCAATAAGCAAACTTGGATTGTAATGTGCATTCCTTTGAACATACACAAGGACGCCGCTGCTTTCAACGTCCCTGGTAAAGAAGCAAATCAGCACCTAGACAATCAGTTTGGAGAAAAGTAGAAACCGAAAAAGAACTTTTGTGATTGCATGCCACTCAAATTTCAAGATGGATTCCAATATATTCCAATGCAGTTCCCAGGAGTGCCAGGAGTGCCAGGAGTAGCATCGATTTGAACCCCAATCCCAATCCCATTGGATCCATTGGGCTTATTGTCCATCTGCGTTTTGATGCGATCTTAGGGATTTCGGTGGTCGTGAGGCACACCTTGACTCCAGTGACGCTTGCAGTCTGGGCAATGGTTGTGCTTCTTCCCATTTGTCTGTTGCAGACACATCTCCAAGGAAAGCCTCTCTGCGGACATGATTCTCTGCACAAAGGCTTTATCTTTGGAGTGATGCTTCGATAGGACACGAGCAATTTGCGTAAGCTGAATAGGATGTTCAAATAACTCGCGATGATATTTAAAAAAAAAAACATAAAAGTCAATGTTCTGTCATTTCTGTATCACATCTCGACAAATGAAACCTCATGGGTGTGGACATATCAAGTTGTCTTCAGGCGCAACCGGGCATGCCCCAAGTCGATCCCATTTCTGTAAATTCAAGAAAAAGTCAAGAATTTTTATCTCATTTACCCTCTGGTAATTTGTTACATAGCTATGGAAGCCATGGCCCAGTCGACATAGTGAGTTCGTTTTCCCATTAATAGCATGGTGGATCTTCCAATAGCTATTTTGACATAACCAGAGGCTAATTCCATGAAGTTTTCTCCATAAATCGATGACACCTCCGAGTATTCCGATGATCCGAGGATCCCGGAGCATCCCGGCGAGAAAATCTGAGTTTCTCTAGCAGGACTTATAGGTGTTGGAAACATATGCCACTCGGCATCATACCCTCTGGTAAACTAACATAGCTATGGAAAATCACCATTTTTCATGGGTAAATCCACTATGTCGACTGGGCCATTTTCAATAGCTATGTAACAAATTACCAGAGGGTATCCAATATATCCAGTATATTGAAAAAGAAAAGTATGACAACAATGACAACAAACAGTTGGGGTTTGAAGTTAAGTTCTCTCTCCTAATTAGGGTTGATGATAGGTATCGACATAGTTGCATTGATATCTGCATCCCTTCCAAATCCACACTCTGGCCATGTATTCAATGTAGTCCACGGGAAGGACATGATTGACTCGATTGACTTGTACAACGAAACAGTCCATCTTGAAACAGGTCGCAACACCGAAGCAGCATGAAATTTTCAGATCCATCAAGTTTGAGTGGCAAAGAACTAAGGAAGTGCACCAAACTCACAACACGTTGTCTAGCTCAGTTCTCATCTGGTGGGATATTTTTCTCAATGTTTCATGCGTGGCCCAGCTACTGGATTGTCAAGCTGGGTCGAATTCTGGGGCACTAAATACTGGAGAAAGTTACCGTTTAGTTCACTTACCCTCCGATAATCATAAGGCAATGGAAAATCCCCTATTTATATATATATATATCTATATTGTTCCCATACAGTTCGGTATATGTTGACTTACCCTTTAACCATTAGAGTATTAAAACCTATATATAATTCTAATTTTATAGTATTAAAACCTCCATTATAACCATTAAAACCATTAGTTCGGTCATTTTCAGCTCATTGGGTCATTGATTCACCGAGGGAATGTGTGGCCCAAGTTTTGCACCAGTTAGACTAGTACTGACAAAACCCCCATTCATAGATATAACTAGTTAATTTTATTGAAAGACATTCAGAGATATTCATAGTTAACTAATTATTCATAGTTATTGATAGAATGTATTTCATTTCATTGAAATAACTAGTGAACCAACTAGTTAACTAGGTTTCCCCCAAAACATTTTTTCGGCTTTGCCTTAAAAGTCCTGACATAGACTGCCAAGGGGCTGGTTCTTCTTCAACCTCATCTCTAAAACTGCACCTTGGCACGGCGAAACTTGAAAAAACATGGCCGATATAAGGAACTAGTAGCTGAAGTAGCTCCAAAAGACATGCAACTAATTACACTATAACATCTACATATATATATGTAGTCGAGCAGAAGTGCCTAAAAACAGTGTGAAATACGCTGTTACAAGCAGTACACCAGCATCTATGCTGAAATCATCTGAAATCCCAGCCCAACAATTTGCTATCCCCGCCGCATCACCACAGTCCCGTTGTCACCGCGCCTATAATTCTTCTTATCGCCCTCAGAAGCGGTTCCGTTGATCAAAAAAAAAAACATGGGGAAAGCTGTTGTCATATGAATTCAGATGGTATACAATGGTACGCAATGGCATGTATAATATGTATATGTATATGTATCAGTATCAGTATCTGTGTATGTGTGTATGTGTGTATGTGTGTATGTGTGTATGTGCGTATGTGCGTATGTGCGTATGTGCGTATGTGCGTATGTGCGTATGTGCGTATGTGCGTATGTGCGTATGTGCGTATGTATGTATGTATGTATGTATGTATGTATGTATGTATGTATGTATGTATGTATGTATGTATGTATGTATGTATGTATGTGTGGTTATGTATGTATGTATGTATGTATGTATGTATGTATGTATGTATGTATGTGTATGTATGTGTGGTTATGTATGTATGTATGTGTATGTATGTGTATGTCTGTATGTCTGTATGTCTGTATGTATGTCTGTATATATATATATATATATGCCAAACGGATGCAACATCTAATCTAGATATACTCAGATACATCTGGCTGAATTCTACTGCAATGTCAAAAAAGAGTAAAGAAAAATGAGAAAGATTCCACCAACAAACATGGCAATTCCTTTCACCAATGGAGGAATTGCCAGGATGGGGGGTTGGATAGAGAGAATAAGGGCCCCAATGCCATTCCACGACTTTTTTGTAGTGCTCCCCAGTGACATGTTTGTTGGTGTATAATAAACCCAGTTAACTAGTTCATTAGTTCGATATATCTTCCAAACATCCAACAGTTAAACACTGTAAAAAAATCTAAACCCCATTAAGTCTGGATATATCTACCATAAAGCCTAGTTCTTTACTTCTAAACCAACAGTGTTTTTCAACTTTGCGAACACAATCTTGGGCACCTTGTCCCACAAAACTATGGAATTCCACACGGCTTCGTTGTTGGGTACTCCAAAATCCCCATGGTTTTTTCGTCATGTTCCCAAGTAGTCGTTGCCATGAAACATGGGTAACCAAAGCATTTTCAGACACACGCAAGACGCCATTCTTCGTCAACT